CTTGTTTTTTCACATTACAATATCCATGCATATAAAATGTTTGCATACATTCTTATACAGCCTAAGAAACTAAAATCATTCTAAATCTATATATAAAACAAATAAAAATATAATTAAAAAAACCCCTGCATACTCTAGGGATTTTATTTTATATGTCATTTAGAAGTATTATTTCAGTGGTTCTTAATTTCACTGGTCTTAATTGTTGTGATTAAAAGCCATTACACAGGCAAATCAGAAAAGATTGGTGGTTCTAAACAGCAGACAGATACTAGCTGTAGTTCTTGATTCACCAACACAATTAGAAATGTAAACATTTGAAGAAATGGAGGTTAAAATAGAATCAGGATGAGTGGACATGAGTCCCAGAAACTAAACTGCCTGTCTAGAAAAGAGTCACTGGAAATATCTGGAGAATCCACATAATCTTGATAAAATTCCTTTAAAAAGGGTACATATTGAAAACAGATTAGGGTTATTAAGGAACCAGACATTAAATATTTTTGGCTGATATAATCTCAGAGAAGGATAATTATCCCTTTTTTGTTCAGATAGCAACAGTACATTCCTTCTTTAAAAATTGTACTAAAAATTTCCATATCACAGCTGCCCAGAGTGCATAACAAGGAGAATATTAGTAATGTCCAGATGCACATAAATCTACAGGGATGCCTCTTGCCAACAGCAAAATGAAAGGGATGACAGTGTCAATCACATCCAATAGACTATGTTAATGCTTTTCAAACAGTTCTTTCACACTCGAAAATAGTGCTCATTAATAATGTATGGTCCAGTATGAAGAAGAAGGAATGTTGCCTCCAAAACTGATAGAATTCATTGTTCAGCTCTATACTCGTCTGAACAATAAAGTCCCATTTCTGAAGGACAATTTTTCTTTTGTCTTTAGGAGTGTGCTGAAATTATTTCAAACCTATTATACTAATTGTCCCCTTTAGTTTTGGTGCGTGTGCTGCAAATGTTGTACTTTAAGAGCCTTCTCTGCTCCCCTGCCTCTGTCCCCCTCCTCTCTGACTGGCATTTTTGGATTGTATGAGTAACTTACCAAGCTTTTCAGAACTGCTGGGTGGGTGACAGGGCAGAGTTTTTTTCTCTGCTCCCCCGCTCTGTTGTTTGAGCAGCTGTCAGGAAGGTGGGCCTGTGGGTTTGTAGATATATTTTGAGACTAACAGATTGTAAGCTCACACATGAGAACAGAAGAAATACTTTGAATCTGAAAAGGTTATCCACCCCTTGGAGACTAATCTCCTAATATACTATTTTTGTCAGAAAGTACCTCAATTGCTTCTCAAACAAGCCCATTATTTTTGCTTCACAAACCATTCAAAGTGATGTTTAGAATGGCCTGCTTATAGAAAAAGGTCCTTTTATACCTGTGTGAATTCAAGATTTATTTACTTTCAGTCACTTCCCTTTGTTCTATCATCTAAAGTGACAGCCTGTATTTGAAACAGTGACTTGTAATGTTCCTGCCCCAGAGAACAACTGGACCAGCAAGAGATAAATCAGCACACTTTCCTTCCTTGCTCTTAAAGAAACAGACAGAATAGGGCAGACTATCAAAATTCCTATCTTTTATGGTCTGCTCACCATAAATTGTCTCCTTATGATTGCACTAACTGTATCAGATCAACTTTTCCCACTTCCCAGACATCTTTTCTACATCCCAATATACACAAATATGTGTAACTACAATGGTATCAAACAACCAGATGATCCCAACAACTTCTCTCTACAGAAATTAGCAGCAGGAGTTCAGGTTTCAATCCCTCTTGATCTTTCCAGTCACTGTAAAGTTTGGACTTTAAACTTCTGTTTAGATCTATTTGCAGCACTGAAATAGGAAGAATCAAATTGTTGGTAAATACTGTGGCCTGGTAGCTCCCAAGCTCACAATTTGTTTTTATTTTCTAAAGAACAGAATTTACATTTTGATCCCATTCTGACATCCTTCATGTCTCATCCTAATCTGTGAGAACTCACAGATTCTACTTTTCTTTTGGAACAGTTAAAATCAGTGGCTATTGCTAAGTCGGGAACTGCTCATTTAGAACCATGCTGTTCCAATCTGCCTTTCTTGTTTGTTTGACATATGCTTTTATTTTTTTCTAAAGAGAAATGCCTTTTCAAATTTTTAATTTAATTTTTATGAGGTCCAGTGAATGAAGTTTCAGGTCAGGGACTGCTTCAGCACAGTATTAAGAAATGTTCATTTCATAATTAACAGTCTTAATTCCTTACACAAATTCTTTTTATAACTTTTTAATATTTGGGGTTTTTTTGTCTGATTTATGATATTTTTTCTTGCAAAAACCTCAAGTAATACATTAAAATATTTTGACATGATAAGCCTAGAGAAAGGACTAGTTAAGGTTAAATGAAAATGAATTTAGAAGATATCAGTTAGAAAGCAAATATAGAGCTCTCCAGAAAGCAATTACTGAAAAGATACTTTCAAACATAACAAAATTGTACTATATCTGGTATACTTGGGAACTATACAAAATTATGGTGTTTTGGCTTCAGAGACTCATCCTCAGTGCAATTTCAAAAGACATAAATTGCTAGATACTCATTCATTAGTTCCATTTTGGAATGTTTATGAATACTTGAATTAAAATTCACAATAATACTCCAAAATTTTAATCTCAAAGACAGTATAATCAGCATTATTGATATATTCCTTATGAACAAGAACCCATCAAAAAATGAGGGTCAGATCCAATAAGGGTTTTATATACCATCTAAGACAAAATGAATGATTTTTCTTTCATGCAGATGAAAGCAAAACTGTTTGATTCCCCTTCACTATACTGGATCGAATAAAGCTCTTCAGTAAGGAAAGAGGTAACTCTGACCAAGGTGAGAGTGACCAACAGAACAAGTCCACAACAGCTTGTAACAGGTCTGGATACTCAGCAAGATTGAAACATCCTAAATAAACAGCAGTTGTATTTTCTCTCCCCTGTCCAGCACAGGTGGGAAGTGCCAGCGTGGCTTTGGTGGGCACCTGGTATCCAGACAGGTCATCCCACCTCAGTAATCTTGCTTCCACATTTAGATTCTCCCCCTCAATCCCTGCTCATACTAGGGCAGGACTTCAGGGTCCATTTATCTTCTACCTTATTCATCAGAAATATTCAAGGACTATGACACTTACTATCTTCCCACCTTAGGTACGTTTCTTACCTGCACATTATATTAGGTCCATCTGACTGCAATTAACTAAAAGATACCAAACTCCAAAATATGGTCATTTTTTAAGGCAGCTGCCAATGACAGGACATATCTTCTTTTCTAGTCCTTCTGGAAAGGTTATCTGATGACCTCTTCATATTTCTAGGAATTTGGGAATGAGATAGTTTATTTGCCAGGCATGTGTCCAATCAAGGGCACCTGGATATTACAGAACTATCCCAGTAGGTGGATGTTCATCTTCATGTGAAAATTTTTAGAGGAGAAATATCCAGAGTAGGTGAGGAGACACATAATGGTAAAAAAGGAATATAATTACTTCTAGACTGGTAAATAGTATCAGGATTTTCCTCAATGCTTTCATGTTCTGATTGGTTCTTCATTCTGGAAGAGACTTGATCCTTAAGCATCACTGTCTATATATATCAATAGTTATTCTGAGTGATTCATAAGAAAAAAAAAAAATTTGAGCAATTCATAGAAGCAAATCTTATGATGCCAGATACTTAGTCAGGATAGACTCATAAACCATAGTAGAATAAATTTAAACAGGAGGAACCTGTACATTTGGAATATAGACATTCCCAGCCACAGTGAAAACATCAAGTTGTTGGAAAATTTAACCTGGAAGGTCATAATAAGAGTTCATTAATAGAAAACACTCTACAATATCCATCAAATATCTGACATAGAATACAATCATGAACAATTTTCTTTAAACCTTAATAAGGAAATAAGTCAGCTTTATAAGGAAATCAGAAAAAAACCCCATAGACCTACATCAAAAAACACCAGAGAACATATTGCATTAAGAAAAATATGCATACACAAGTTATCAACATTTTTAAAATAGTAGAAAAAAAATTATTCTCCAAAAGATTATATATAACTAATTTAAAATTAATGGAAATTGCATTTTAACTTCTGAATCTAGTTACTGATTGTTTACTTGACTTCCATGAAAAAAAAAGAGAAAGTAGAAAAACATATGGAAATTAGCGAGTCTGACCAAAATAATATAAGTAAAGCATATAGAGTTTGCAGGACAAAAGTAATTTACTAGATAACATCTGGTGCCAGTTATGGACTGTCTTCATGAGAATGCTGATGTAGAGAACTGAAAAATAATGAAAGCCAATAACATTGCAGAACACCATCTCACTTATGGCTGATATATGGTCAGGACTTCACTTGCAATTTCAGCTGAACATGACTTTTTTCAGCTTATGCATTTATAGTTCTTCACTTCACCACTTATCTTATGTCTGCAGGAGAACATTTTATTTAATAAAGAGGGAGAAAGATTCACCGGTTTGGAAATCTAACAGTTGAGGGAGACTTCAGAAGACCATTGTAAATGCATATTGCATTCCAATCTTGCTAAAAGCCATGCAAATCTATACTGAGTATTTTGATTCCTAAGGTATATCTGCAGCCAGGGATGGACTTCTATTACAATTTAGCCATTTTCTGATACAAATCAAAGCTATGCAGGGATTCAACATTACTTATTTCATTGTGTGTATGCCTCGCCATCACCTCTTGCCTGCCAATTCTTCCCACTTCCCTTACCAGTGCCTCTCTAGGCAACCTGTAGTTGTGATGGAATTCCATACCTAATTCCTGTGAAGTAGCAGTGACTAGTAGATCATATTTATCTCTTTTTGAAATCTGAACTCAAAAAAAAATACAAAAAACCCAAAAGCAAAACCAAACCAACGAGCAAATAAAGACAAAAGAAAAACAAACCCCCAAAAAACCCTGAGATGCTTTAGTGCTTTGCTTACCTCATGTGTAACATCTGCAAAATCAGAGTAGTTCACCTTCAGTGAAAGACATTACAAGAGAGATGGAAACTGTAAGATTTCTTTTTCTTCTTTGACATATGGTGTGAATTTTGTTGAAGTCAAAGCATTCCACAATTAGTTGAAATGCAGCTGAGATGTGTCAACAAGCTCTGTCTTCTTATAGATTCTACAGCCAAAAAGTAGGTGTATGACAAACTTTCTGGTTCAAAAACATGCATGCCACATACCATAAATTATCTTAGCTATCTCTGACAGTTTGTATAAACATTTTCTATATTTTCAAGTAATGTCACACATGGCATTCATAATCTGTTAGGAGACAAACTGTGCCCATTTTGTTACCTTCTAAATCTGTGGACTTCCAAAGGAGAAACAAATATATGGTTTGTTTGTTTGCTTGTTTGTTGTGGAGGAAGGTTGTTGGAGTTCTTCCTGGTTTGATTATTTTTTCTAGAACTATTAAAATTTTGTAACACTCTCCAAGAGCTAGTCGGAGCTCAGCTTAACAGGAGTAGAAGAAATAACCAGATTCTCTAAGGGTGACTCAGAGAATATTTCTGATTGTTTTCTTTGCTGTTGTGGGTGTGGGTTGAAGAAAGGGTGGAAAAGGCAGAAGGAGGTAAATGTAGTACATGAAGTTTATTTTGGTGAGCAAATAAAGGATAAAACTGGTGCAAGAGCTCTGCTGACTCCCATTTCATGTTTGCCTTCTCTCAATCTGGAGAGAGAACTTGTTCAGAGAGCAGTCATTGTGCCTTGCAGCAGACTTGATCCAGCTCCAGGGTGCATTTCGTGCACCATTCAGAGGGAAAGGGTGTGAGGGAAAGGTTTTGGTCATGCTGCAAGACCAGTGTTAACACAGCAGGGAAAGCTGCTCTTTGGAGAGGACAGTGCAGTGCATGGCATTCCTGAAATGCAAGACATCAAAAAGTATAAAACATCAAAACTTATCCCTTAAAGCACTTGCAAGAGTTCAAATTTACCTTAAAAACCAGAAAATGGCTGAGAAGATTTTAGGATGTGAAAAGGATTTTTTCCTTACTTTAAACTTCATAAATGGTCCTACTAAATGGTCCTAATTAAATTACTGCTAGATCAGGAAGAAGAAAGTCCCGACAAGTATTTACTAATATTCCTAACAATGTGTATTTTACGCACTCTCTTTTTAAATATTCTTTTTGAAAATGTTAAATGTTTGTCTTACAAGCCAGGACAATGTTTCACTATCTTTTTATATGGTAAATGTTTATTTTATTACTGAAAATACAGTTATGTGGAACTGAAAAAAAGGATTCACAAAATCACACTAACTACCACTTGAATTGCCAATGCTGGGCACTTGGAAAAGCAAGCAAAACTAAATTGCTTTTAGCAATATTTCTATTAGAATTAAGCAGAATGGTACTGGAATGAGAAAACATATCATCTAGACAGAGCAGCAGCATCTGATGCTGAAAAAGAAACTATGGCAGAAAAGACAAAGAATACAGAATAGACATGTTTAGAATGTCTACATTCTAAACACCATACACCATAGTAAAGTTTCTATCTTTATAATTTCATACTTTATCTAAATCATATAAGCTAGCTACAGTAAAGTTTGAATTTTGAAATTTATTTACTTTCTCAGAGTTCTATATTAGTAGCATATTTTTGATCTGTAATGATCTGTATGTAGTTTAAAGTCTCCAAAGCTAATTTTAAAAGGAATATACTTGTGTCATAAATCCTTCTTCTAAAGGTGCAGCTCTAAAATCTGTTTACCTGCTTCACAAACCATTGACTAACATGTAATAGTTCTGTATCTGAACAAATTTAAATTCTTATTTTTAGTTTACAACTTTTCTAGATATGAAAATATTTTTTAAAAGCCTTGTGCATTAATTGAAATCAACATTTTTATACTAATGTTATCTGTCCATAAATATGTTTTTAAGATGTGCAAGGAAAAATTTTGTCATTCCACTTTATATCAGTCAGGATGAATTTTAAGCTAAAGAAAAAATAATTTTAAAATAAGTTTGCTATCAGAGGAGATGAATTTCTAAAAAAAATTATCATTATATTGATTTAAGGAACATAACTTTTTTTGTTAACACCTTCAGCAGCATAACAGGGGCTTAGATTTTAGAGGTAAGAAATCAGATGAAAGCACTTTTTTTTTTAAATGTGCATTTGAATTAAAAGACTTTGAGCTCGTAATGACAAGTCATGAGCCATGACTTTGTTTGTGCCAAGATTCTTCTTGACAATAATTAATAGAAATGAAAACAGAATTGCAAGAACAGTGGTAGAAAGAAAACGTGTCTTGCATACAATCACCTACTTATTTGAATCCATTTTATGAATTCTTTGTGGGTGGGAAATAGAAGGGAATGAGAAAAAATAGCAAGCACTGGATAGTGTGAAACTATTGTTGCAAGCCCCACCACCTACAGTATGGCAAAGCTTCACTCTAGGCATATGTATTTGGGCAGGAATTTTGCATTCTTTCAAAGACAGGCCATTTAAGCAAAATAAGATTGAAGAAGGAAGAACTTCACAGATAGAGGACTGGTGGAAATTCTTGTGATGTGCAAAATATTGTCATTCTGGAAGAGAAAAATTCTCTTATTCACAAGAGAAATGAAGAATGGAAAGCCATACGGACCATAGAATTGCTGCTACATACAGCAATGAACTGAATGAGTCAATCACTGATGATAGGGATAAAAACAATAAAAATGGTGGATCAGAATCACTTACTAGAATAGGAAATAGTATTGGGTAAGATTGGATGATACCATGTCTTCAAGCAGAAACAAACCCAGGAAAGAGTATCAGAAAATATTTTTCATTGAATCAATTGATCAAATGAGAAATGAAGAATGACAATTGTAGAGCTGATAAGTAGAATTGTATATATCCATGCAAGTGTTTGCAATAGAGATCTTAAGTTAGAAAGACCGTAAAATATTTCTGGGTAAAAAATTTAAGATTTTTTTAGAATCCAAACCAATATTTTTATACATGACTTTTATAATCACTTTTTTTTCCAGGAGGCTGAAAAAAGATCCTGTGTACACCATCCTATTTTAAATGTCAAAATGGTATATCAAATTACAAAAAAGGTAGAAAAAACCCAAAAACATAATGTTTTCTTTGCAGATGGTTTCAAAATATGTTAAGGATTTAAATTCACCAAATAAACATTTTCTTTATGTAGTTTATTAGTGCTGTTTATTAATCCAGCTCTTTTTTTTTTAATGCATTCCACTTCTAAAAAGTCATTATCTTGTGCAATGTTGAAAATGCTCAATTACATGATTAGCTACATATGTGGATCTCCACGTACATGAACTTTTCCATTTATGTGGACCTCACATATGTAAACAGCTATGACATTTTCTCTTTCAAAGAAAGAACCAGTACTAGATTGTATTTGTCAGTACATTACATACTGGGGAACAATAAGACGAGAATAAGAATTGCTCTGTTTGAATACACATGTAGAAGATATGGCCAAGCCAATGAAATTTTTTATCCATGAAAATTACAAAATGAATGCATAGTAGAAAATCAAATAAACAAAGAAAATAGTAGCCAAAAGTGGGTACTAGTCCAAACTTCATCTTTTTTAACTAAATATATTTAATGTTTTGGAAGTTTTCTAAATTTACAAGTGTTTATGTAAGTGGTTGTTTTCAATTACTGACCTGTAATTTACTACAATTACTTGCCTTTGTGTGACCAACACTAGATATTCTTCTTAACAGATTGGTTTATGCTCACAAAAAATATAGGCATTTCAGATTGAATAAATCCCAGAGGTTTGACCATGAATATAGCCAATAAACAAGGTCTTAAAATCTGTTTTAATGCAATAAGTATGGATTTTCCTGTACTAAACAATCATAGAACCTAATCCCTTCAGTATCTGATTAATCAATAATATAAACATTAGCTGCTATCTCTTGTCTCATGGCACTAGAGCAAAATAAAATTTTCACTTTAAGAATGAGGGTTTAGCTTTCTGAAAAACTATAATTAATGTAAGCTCATAAATAAATTAAAATAATATTAGTAATTTATACATATATATACCTTAAAACAGTAAGAAACAAAGAGGCAATTATTAGTATGGAAAGAGTGCAAAATATTTTGAATGGACAGTTCCTGTCCATTTAGTGATGTGATTATAAATTGTACAGTGTAGTGAATGTAGGGGAAAGGGAAACTAATAGGAAAACTTTGCCATAAATTGGCATGTTGAATGTAGAAGTGTTTTAAAATGACGTGGATTCTGCCTTCTGTATGTTTCTGGACTTTATGCAATCCAGTGTCTACAGGCAGAAATTGAAGAGAGAATGTGGTCCTGCATTATTTCAGTTTCTCAATTTACCTTTTTAGTAGTACATAGTACAGTAGTATCTTAATGGTATTAAGTATGCATATTATAATAATACCTAATTTAATTCACAAACAATACCTGGGCAGTTCCTGTGCATTCATCTATTATTGTAGTCCCATTAAGATAAAGTAGGACCCCTCTCACTTCAAGGGAGGTCTTTCTTCCACTCAGAGCACAGTGTATCAGTGCCCATTCACTCACTGTGAAGATAAACAACAAAGCTTAACTCACATGTATTTGAAGAAATTCATTTCTTTGAAGAAAATCAATAAGTACTTATCTGACTCTTTTCTGGTGAGGGTGAGCCCATGGATGTCAAATCCATGCCAGGAATCCTGCTAAAGAATGCTGAGGACACTAGCCAGTGCTTTAGCAAGTGACCACATCCCATTTTGCTTGCCAATACTGATTGACCACATCCCATTTTGCTTGTCAATATTAATGCAAAGAGGACCACCAATTTACAGCTCATCTTGCTGAAGAGTTTTACACACATGAGATTTGGGCAGCTACTATGGATTACCCGAAAGGCTTCTCTGAGGGTCAGGAATTCTCTTGCACACATTGATGGGTCATCCTTTGCCAATAAAGGACAAAAGACTTCTCAATTTTTTTTCCTTTGTTAAATATCCATCAAAGAAATACTGAGACCATTGCTTGAACATTCTTTTTACACCCCTCAGTAGATGCACAGGCTGGTTCCTTGTGGTTCTCTCTGCCTATTAATTTATTGAACATGGATGAAATTTATAATAGATATATGATTAGTCATAGAAATCTAGTATGGGTGCCCAGTTTATACAAATATAATTTCAATCCTTTGCTTCAGTTGCTAACATGTTGAAGCAAAATGTCCACTTTTCAACAATCTACTTGCTTTTTGATTAGTTTTATTTTAATTTTTATTCAGTTTAGCTTTTTTTTCTTTCAAAAAACACTAGAAGCTAAGATGCCGTTTATGCCAGTTTAAACCTAGAGGATGCAAATCTTTAAATATATACAAAGA